TATTAACTAACATATGATACCAGTATAGTATATAGCTATACCAACAGGGTATACAATTGTACGCAAAGAGTTAAAAAAATTTAATTCAATTATTAAACTGAAATAATATCACTTGCCAATAAAAATTTCAAAAAAATTCTAAAAGGATCTAATTGTAAGAGTATAACGTTACATTATATAGTATACTATAATATTTTTATTTTCTTTGCATTTTCAATTTGCCCCTCACGCTGGGTAAAAGCTTAAAGCAAATTAAAAGGTAAAAGGCAAGTGAATTTACGGGTAATAAGTATACTATTATGGTATATTGTATGCTATTACAGCATACTGTTACGGTATATTTCATATTATTACGGTATTCTATAACAATATATGTATACTATAATAGTATACTGTTGCAATATAACTATATACTCCTATAGTATATTGTATATTGTAGGGGTATACTATTAGGTAACTGTGTTCTTCTTCGATTATTACAATATACCGTTGCAGCATGTTGTAAACTATAACAGTATACTGTTGCAGTATAGCTATATACTCCTACGACATATTGTATATTGTAGCAGTATACTATTGGGTAGTTGTGTTCTTCTTCGATTTTCAGCTGAAAATTTCGATCTCAAATCAGCTCCAAATGCTATCAAATTTCAGTATGAACTTCCAGAAGGTATTATAAGCAATATTTAACAGCACCCATTTTGAATCAAACAAGAAATCTTCAAACTAAAAATTTTAAATTCAAGAGCTTCAAAACAAATCTCAATACATGTTCTCCTTCCATTTAGTATAAGAATTTTTTTTTTGAATTTAAATTGATTTTGCATTAGCAGACATGTAGCTCATTGAGGAGAAGAGGTGGTCTGGAGGTTGTGTTTGCCTCTGATGTACTTGTAGAAGATTTCAACATACAAGAAAAGATAATTTTGACATAAGCAGTTGCAAATTGTTGGACATAGGCAATGTAAACGGGAACAAATGTTAGATGATTACATAGTTTTCCATGTTAGTTGGGATCCTCTTTCACTATAGGAAGCTACTGGATGTATACCCTTTCTTGACGAGAAATTCAGTAGTTAATAAGTACTTAACCAAATATATCCGCCTTTTCCAAAAGAAAATTCCCGCGATCTTTACTAGTACTCAATTCTGGATCTGACAAATATGGTCAAATTCACTCATTTGTAACAGTTTTCCTTCAAAAGATTTTTTACTCTTCAACACACAGACAAAACCTACAGATCACTACCATGGCTTCCGAGAAAGAAACCCTAGAAGAGAAGAAACAAGAAAAAGAAACAAACGAGCAAGAAGAAAAGGTTAAACAGAACAGTGAAGAAATAAAACTGATGATGATAAGGATGAAATAGGAGAAGACAGAGAGGGTGCAGGGGAAATGGAAGTAGACAAACAAGAGGAAGAGGAAGAATCTAGGGAAGAAGAGGAAAAGGAAAAAGTTGTGAACAAGGGAAAAGATAGAGGTGCAGTGAAAGAGGAGGAAGGGAAAAGTGATAATATGGATTCACCCACAACACCAGGTTCAAGGTCATCGGTGGAGACATACACAAAATAGTTACCGTGTAAATAACCGGGTTAATAGTTTGGGCCCCATGGGTAGAAGTAATAAATAGTTTGGGCCTGAAAATTAAAGGGTAAATAGTTTAGAATTAATGGGTATAAAGTGAGATTTTTCCCTTTTTTAAAGGGAAAATCTCACTTTATACCCATTAAATTTAAACTATTTACCCTTAAATACTCATACCTAAACTATTTACTTTTCCTACCTATGCAATCAATACTATTTACCCACCTACAATAGATTCTTTGGAGTGGTTAGCTATTCGTTTTTATTTTTTTCTTCCTTTTTAATACAAATTTTTAGTGTCGTCTTTACCTTTTAATATAGAGTGGTGGACATGGAATATTCTTTTGTAATAAGTGCAGTTCTTTTATACTTGCTTGGTGCTTATATTTTGTACTGTTGAAGGACAAATTAGTGAAATTGCAGTTTCATTAGGAGATAATTCCATCTTGTATTACTTTTGCGTGTTAGCATACATGGGAAAAAAATAGTAAGCATGTGTGTTATTATAAGCAGGTGTGCTGAATCAAATCGATCCAGCACTGCATTGGTCTCCAATTAAACGTAGCTAATATTGTTCTTTGATGTGTAGATTGTACCTTTGATGCTGGTTTTTGAAGATTTATTGTACAAAAATTTAAATCCACCATTGACGGACCTTGAAACTTGAAACTCATAACTTAGTTTGTTTGAGTGTTTAGTTGTTTTGATCCGATCCTGTATGGGTTAGTTTGGAAAGTTGATTGGAGGTTGTAGCTAAAGTTTTAGTCAATTTGGTGGAGATTTTGTAGTAAATTTTAGAAATTTGGGTTGAAATATAGTTGAACCAGAGAAGAAGACGAATTTGTATTGTATACCCAAATAGTATACAAATATACCATTTTAGTATACAATTCATTCCAACTATATACCCTATTAGTATAGCTATATACTATATTGGTATCATATGCTAGTTGAATTATTTTTTGGTTGTATTAGCTGCATTTAATTGGTACAATATTTGATTTTCTTTTAATAATAGTAATATAGTACAATATCTTGAAATACCTTATTATATTAATATGTGGTACACTATTTTTCTCTTTATGCATGTGTGTTATGTAATAGTAGTATAGTCATATAGTTGCCGGAAATTAACTAGTAAAACGGTATACCATGTTGGTATAGTTATATGCCATATTGGTATCATATGGTAGTTTGAACATTGTTTTGGTTATTTTAGCTGCATTTTAAGTGAATTTTATGAAATTATTTATATCGACATGAGTTGCAATAATGCTGGAATTTTTGTGTGTCGATGGACATTAATTATGTGTATTAATAGTTTTTACAGTTATAGGCAATTGTTGGAACGATCCCATATAATTATATACCCTCTTAGTATACGAAATGAGCAAGTTGTTTTGCGAATATTTAGCTTGCAATACGAGCATGTAATTTTCTCATACTTTTATTGCGTCATTTAATGTTTTGGTAGAGTAGTATAGTCGCAGATAGTTGTAGCAATATTCTAGACAAATCATATGCTCTGTTGGTATACATATATACCATATTGGTATCACATGGTACTAGAAGTCTTTTTCGCTACTTATACTTTTGTTATATTTTTTAATATTTTATTATCATTTTTATTCTAACTAGTATATATGGAGATTTTGTTGCCGTAGACTATGTTTTCTTGCTCTATAACTGGTTGTATTACTGCTAATAGTAGAGTGTATATTGATATTTATAGGGAAGGAGATCAAGGTTTGCATGGCAATCACGTGTTGATTCTTAGTATCTGATTATGTAATTTATGGTGCTCAACAGCAGTCAATGTGATATTCAGTGTATTAGATCAAGCGACAACTGATATTATTTCAGTTTAATAATTGAATTTAAAAAATGAGAAAGAAAAATAAAATAAAAGGTATATTGTACTAGTTATATTAAAAAAAGGTGAACAAATATTCACTATATCAATTATTTTTCTTATTGTATAAAAAAAGAATAATAAGAAAATAGTGAAAACGGTAAATGAAATTAGATTATGAAGAGAAAAAGAATATAGAAAAAAAGAAGTTAAATGAAATTAGAAAAGGAAAAAAAGAAAAAAAAAGAAGAAAACGAGAAAAAAGAAAAAGACAAGAAAAGAAAAAAGAAAAAAAAAGAAAAACGAAAAAGAAAAGACGAATAAGAAATAAAAAAGAAAAGTAAGTANAAGAAGCATAGAAATAAAAAAGAATTGGAGAATAAAGAAAAAATTCCCTACAAAAACTACTATGGGTAGGAAATGTAATTAGTTTATGGGTAGAAAAACAAATGGGTAGACAAGAGTAAATGATTTTATTTTTTATGAATAACTGTGTCAAAACCCCTTTTTTAAATTCTTTTTCTTCTAAGCCCCAATGCATTCAAACGGAAAACCATTATAAGATGGTTAGTACTTAGTTCCTTCCCCGCACAACAGCAAAATAAGTAATAATATGTACGTTCTCATGTGCAAATATAATTTTATTTTTCAAATCTTATTTATTACTTTTTGTCTATGTAGCACTCTTTAATTTTAATTCGTCCCAAAAAAATATATTATATTAATATATTTAGAAATAATTAAATTTTAAATTTTTTATTTTACCTTTAATGAAATAATTTATATAACTACATGTCTAAGACTTGTTTTCTTAAATATGAGGTCAAGTCAAATAACGCCACATAGGTATGGAACAAAGGTATGGAACTTGTCATTGCTCATAGAAATCAGTATTATAAGTTGATTGAATATCTATATTCATATATAAAACTCCAACTTAAAATAAGGTAAGTTGATTGATTAATCAAGCATCTGTTTTTTTCTCTCTTATACATGAGAAGGTAGAAGTCAAACCCAACTCAGCAAATAACTATTACTATTAAAGTTTTTGTAGGTAAAGATCATACTTATTACTTTACTGTTATATTCAGAACTTCTTTAGAATATCTTGCAAAAATAGGCTCCTTTTGTTGTATACACAGAGACATTCAGATAATTGTGAAAGTCTGAAAACTCTGGTTATCTCTATATATGCCTCTTGTTAGAGGAAATTAATGGATCTTTCCTGAAAAATATTTTTTATTAATTCACCGTATATTTTAGCAAGAATTAAATTACATATTTTCAAGTGGTATTCCTCTATTTAGTGGAAAATAATTCCCTAAAAATAGTCCGACAATCAAACATCATAAGTGACTCATTTTCTGTAAAAACATTTCCCCGACATACCAAATAAAGATCTTCTTTCTAATACAATTTAAAGTTCAAAGTTAACAATAATGTAACCTTAACAGGACTTCCTGGCAGTTGATTCACACAATAATGCATTCAAAAAAATTCCTTTTGGCTAATCTTAAGGAAAAGATTCACAAGAAATATAGGAAGAAATAAGAAGACTTGGGCTATTCTGCTCAACAGTTGTTTAACATGTGAAGTTTCAAAAAAGGTTTTCAGTTCATTTTGTACTAGATCTAGAGCTTGATGTATCGAGGTTAGTAACTGCACAAGATGATGTACAAAATGATATTACAAAGCAAAAGATGCTGCTAATGACAATTTACAACTGTTCCAGAGGCCAAATCTAAAAGGTTGTCGCCTCTAACGAGAAAATGCAGGGATTTCGACAAATTAAATGCGATGCAATTAGTCACTGCTGTGACTTGGAAAAGGTTCAAAATTTCCCAGCAGCTTTTACATGTTACCATCTCTACACAAAATCCGAGCCGATGTTCTGCTAGCCACTTTTCTGAGCAAGTTGCTCCTTGTCCATGGCTTTCCTTGCTAGCTCATAGCCAGCAAAATTCATCGCACCCAGAGGAGCAATCCAGAAAAATCTAGGAATAGCTCCTTTAAACAATCCGAGGGGTCCTTCATGACGGAGAATTGATAATGCGACCATCGATGACGTCACAGTCCTCCCCTGCGGAGCAGTCATCATTCTGGTCTTTATCACATCAAATGGAGTCGTTAAGACGGCTGTAAACCCACCAGATAAAGCTCCAACTGCAACTGTTTCCCAAGGCTCCAACTCTCGCCCCAGAAGCTGTTGCACTGCCTGAAATCAACACAAATAATTTTATATAGTGGTTGATTATAACCTTAGTGTCAAGGGGTCTTTCTTTAGCTGAAATTGAAAATATATGCATTTTATACAGTGGTTGATTATAACTCAGATTTGTTCAATCTTTTGCTTCAGGCAACTAGACCTGATTACCAGTTAATAGTCATCCATTAAATTCATCATTCGTAAAATATTCTACAAATTTGTTTTACTATCCCATTGCCTACCAACCCAATTAATCTCTATATAATAGATGTTTAAAAGGAGCTGCTGATCCAGCTAACTGAATTTCAGAAAATTACACAAGAGTTTATATAGCAGAGACAGCATAATGCTTTTCCTTAATTATAGTACGCAATACTATGTTAAAAAGCTGAATAAATCCAGAGGACTGTGAAATACTTTGTATTCCATCCATCCAATTTTTATATGGTGTAATTTTGGACACCAAATATTAAAATGTTAATGACTAATGTATAAGGTAAAGAAACAAAATAAAGAAGAGATTTATCGAAGACATGATTGTGAACATTCCTCAACAGGGGCAGGGGCGGATTTAGGGGGGCGGAAGGGGGTTCACCCGAACCCCTTCGCCATAAAATTACGCTGGACATATAAGGTAAAATCCTGTTTGTACCTCTATATTTTATATTTTAAATTCCCTTGACACAGCCCAAATGCATAGTTCGATGGTCAAGGAGGTTCAAAACCTTTGTAAGGTTGCTGGTTCAACTACCATTGGCCAGTCACTTCTAATTTCTTAAATTTTTCTTTTTTCGAACCCCCTTAGTGGGGAATCCTGCCTCCGCCACTGAACGAGGTCTCCTTAGATGTCTTAAAAAAGTGTAAATAATTATTCACTACTTGTGATAAGGCAAGTAATTAATCTCCCATATAAGAGAGAATATGAAATAGATTATTTTACAACATTCAGCAATGCAAATGAAATGACACCAGAGATATTGTGAATCTACAAATATTCACCATATAACTACATTAGTTTTTCTTGATTATCAACTTTTTCGACTATGCAACAATAACAACATACCCAGTATTATCCCACATCGTGGGGTCCGACTTTTTCGACTATATGTTATATTAATGACGGTGAACAAAATACTAAAAAAATAGTCGAAATGTTGGTTTGATAGACAAACATGACATCAAAATTCAAAATTTGAATAGTTAGATGCACTTGAATAAGTGAAAGTTATAGTTAAATGAACTTGAATAAGTGAAAGTTGGGATATGGATAAAGAAAGCATCATATTAAAGTTTAAAACTTGAGTAATAAAAGCTGAAAAAATCGAACAGAATAATATTATAAGAACGCCCCAAAGTGGAAAAAGTAACATAAAAACTGGGATAACAGGAGTGCTAAAAGGGAAGATTCACTGTCAGTTAGAAATGACTCCTGTCACGTTTTTTACTACTTATGAAGTACTACAACTATTCTGTTTCCCCTTTTTCTTCTTTTTATTTTTATTTTTATTTTTATTTTTTTTTTTGCTGTTTTAAAATGCAGAATGTTTTTTTCTTTTCTTTTTTGCTGTTTTAAAATGCAGAATGTACATCAGTTACTTTGTAACAAATAACAGGTAAGAAAACCACAAAATTAGTCCACAATTACATGCTCCATTGTGCTATTGCTAACTAGGTAACCTGTTTTTCCTCTGTTGGTGTCGGTTAGGGTCCTATATTGGTTGAGGGAATGGGTTGTCGTCTCTTTATAAGGTATTGGGCAATCCTCATCTCATGAGCTACCTTTTGGAGTTGAGTTAGACCTAATGTCCATTTTTCTTAACAGTGTTCACTAGGTAATGCTACAAGAACTAATATCCCATAAGAGACGTGAGATGCTTTCTCACCGCATTTTGCACTTAATCTGAAAAGAACGGAATAGCAGACGATTTAAAGATTATAAGGCTGATTTAAACACAGCGATAGATGCTTGGGCCTCCTCGAGTTATGTTGCAAAGGAGAATGCAAGCAAGGATCCGAATATTTCGGAATTTATAATTCTATATCCTTAGCTTAGGTCTTTCTCTTTTTTTTTTTTTTTTTTTTTGATAAGGAACTTAGGTCTTTCTCTTTTCTTTTTATATCTTGATTTTCTGATTTTTCAGTCATATCTTTGTCATTAATATATCAGCTTTAAACAGTTATAAAAAAATAAACTGACAGTAAAATTCATAAAGATTAAGTATAGTGCAAGCTTAACTAAGTGCAAAATTACCTTTTTGGACTCGGCATATAGGCCCATGCCTACAACATAAAATGGAATCTCACGGCAGAGAGTGGCACCAGTTCCACGGAAAAAACCCTTAAGACCATCTTGCTGCCAAGTGCCAACGATTGCTGCCCCAACATTGTCGAAAAGACCAGCTTGCAATCTTTGCTTGAGCACCTCACAAGGTATTCTCACAGCAGTACCTAAGAAAGTGCTGCAGAATGATGCCACAGATTGAACCTAGATAACATTCCAAAAACAAGAAAATGGATAAGTAACTAGCTTTGTGAATCCGAACAAATGAAGATCAGTCAGGAAATAATCCTATGTAGCATGTCAGTGCTCAACTAATTGATCCTGCTTTCCTTATTACTTTGATATTTTCAAGCCTTCATGTGTACCTATGGGGCACAAAAAACAGCGGCAGCAGGCGGCATCCAAGAACATCAATTGTAGAGCAACAAAATTGGGAAGGAGGGAGAGAGAGAACAAAACAAGCACACTAAAAAATGTGAAAGAAAGTTATAATATCATATTTGTTTTTGGTCTTTCCTACATGTCATCGCAGCTCATCTAGGTTCTAGGAGTTCTTTAATCTCATTGAATGATGAGCAGATCCTCCAATGGACACTTGGATAATTCAAAAGCTTAAAAAATCCCCCTTTAAATTCAACTTAAGAATGAGTAGTCATTTTAGTCAACAGTGCTGTGTTCTTGCCTAGGACGCTTAAAATGAAGTACATAAGCTGACAGAAACCAGTCAACTAATTGGGCCCTCCAATGTAAATGGAACCATCAGAAGGCAGAATCAGCTGGGTGGCCACCGGATAAACCACAGTGAAAGAGTCTTATAAGCTGAGAATCAATAATAGAAGGAACAAAAAGATGGTAATAAGAAAAAGGCCTCAACTGACCATCATGTAAATGGATAACCAAAGACATTGTTTGAAGAGGTGATATACCAAATTTATCAAAGACAGGACTTTTGAAATGTTATCCGTGCAAAGCTGAAATGTTTTACCATTCTGCAAAAGTTAAGGTCCAATCTTTTTTAAAATCAAGGCGAAAGATTGACCTAATTAAGCTGATTGCCAACTTTCTCAAAACCTACAAAATTTTAATTCATAATCTTTCTACCAGATTACTTTCTGACCAGTAAATGGTTGCAAACTACAACTACCATCAGCTCTCATTGAGCATGCAAGAGAATTCCGAAAGTGGGGATGTTTAAATACATTTTGTTGTGAAAGTGGCTATAGAACTATGCCAATGAAGATGGGGCCATGTAGAAGATGGTGATTAATGTGAAGTACTGCTTGGCTGTTGCTAAAAGATGTGACCTCCTCCTATGGACGATTCTGTGGAAAGTATGCCAAAGGAAGACTGGACAGTTCAAAGCTCAGTCTGGTTCTCGGTAAAAATGCAAAAAGAGTCCGGTTAATGTTAAATATTTGGTGTGGTGAAAATACTCTGGAAGATGATTTCCTGAGATTATTTGCACTAGCAACAGACAAGATGGTTACAGTAGCTGCGATTTGAGACGATTCTCAACTGTCATGAGAGATATCTTTCAAAAGTCCAAACCCCTTCAGGGTTGGGCGTATGACGAGGTGACGTCATGCTTGCTGAGATTATATAGCTACACCGTTTGGAGAATTGGATAGAATGATACAAAGAAGCATCCACGAAGCACTTCTCAGTTAAGTCTTACTATGGCCATCTCATCAAAGCTTTTTTTTTTTTCCTTAATTGGTTTTTTTTTTGGGTTTGGGGGGGGGGGGGGGGGGGCATTAAGACCATCAATAACCCAAGGAGGATATGCATTGTGGTTTATTTGACTTGCATTGGGCGATGTCAACCACCTGTTACTTCATTGTGACTTTGCCACTGTGGGCTTTTACATATGCAGTTTTCATGTTTCAGCATTCATCAGGTGCTCCTAGCATAAAGGTGGATATAATTCCAAATTACAGGCTTTTGTATTTTGGTTATTTTAGAGAGACGGAAATAGGAGAACCTTTTGAAGAAGTTGAGAACCTGATGTAGAGAGTCAAAAGTTTTATTTGGTTTCTTTTGTATTTTTGGCAGTGGGAACACCTGCTTGTATGAATAGCCACAGCACATGTTTCAAAGATAGCACCACCTTGGTGTGGTATTAATGAATTACAAAAAATTTAAACTGAACAATATTAGCAGAAAGAGAGGGAAAACCCCTCAGAAGGATTCCACTGCTAAACCCTTACCTGTAGCTCTGGAAGTGTAGGAGCAATATTAATCAGCACAACTTTGCTTGCTTCAAATATTCCAGTACGCAAGCCATGGCTGCAATGACAAATCAAAATTTACAATCCAGACACAAAAAAAAAAAGGACATTTTTACCAAGATACATGAACTACACCGGGTTTGTTGTTATTCTTGTTACACAAAAGGACTAACCTTGAAAACTGCCCTAGAATAGCAGGAATAGAACCTCTGTATAATCCCCTTGCTCCAAGTTCGGGAAGCTTCGATATGATTTGTGGAAAGGTAAGCGTTGATGCTTGTACTTGTGTCTGATGAACCAGCCAAAATTTTCAGAATACACATTTTCACTCTAACGAATTGCTATTCAATTTCAAAATTAATTTCACCATATCCAAGACATCAGATGGACGGAACACACTAGACCACCAAAATTATGCCACGACAATTGACAGATTTATTTCCTTGAATCAGAGTTTCTTATGCTTCATTGAAAATAACAAACAGGAAAAAATTATCTGAAAAGTATAATCTCACACAAACTTACTTACCCAATTGAGAAACTGGTTAAAAAGGGAAGTGTACACCTAGTTTGACTACTTATTAAAAGGGAAATGTTTTACTACATTGAGTGTGTGTTAAGTAATAGTTTAGAAATGTGATAAAGTGGAACCATTAGTTGGTAAGACGATATATCAAGTTTGAAAAATTACGAAGTAGCGTCAGTTTATATTAGTTTGAATTGTTGGAGGAAGATTTTTCTTTTCCAGGAAAGAGTCACATCTTTGGGACAGAAAAAAAGGATGTAAGTTTTTTCTTTTCTTTTGGATGAAGTAAGGTGTTACAAAAAGGGTGTATGTTTTCTTAGGGACAAAGGAGTATCTTGCTATTAATGTTTATCCAATATCTTGTCGTATTTTGGCCTTTTTGGGTAATTTTCTTTATTGGAAAATTAAAACAATCAATGAGTGACACCATTTATCATTTCCACCAGCAACTTAAGGAAATAAATAACTGGTCTACGTTATGACAGAAGTTTCAACAACAAGTAATGCTTCTGGAAAGAAAAGAAAAAAAAAAAAGAGAGAAAAATCTTTACCTTAATCGTATCCACAGGGTGCATTATGGATGTCGACAATGCACAAGAAAGGCCTCCCGCCAATGCTGACTTTAGGACACTTCCAGCAGGAATTTCTACGGGTGGAGGAACAGCAACCACCGTAGCAGCCTCAAACCAGATATTTCTGCATGCACAAAAAATTTTAAAAACCAACTCATGTTTTGAAATAAGACTCCATATTATCAATTAAAGAAAAAGTAACACAGAAAAGAGTCAGGCTTTGCAATAGCGGCAATTGCATGTAACATCAACAAAATAATGGCTTTGAGACAGAAAAAAATCATAACTGCAGGTTCCACATGCATCTACATCCAAAAATGAAAATTGATATTGAGTGTGTCAAGTCAACTTTTGATCTGAATTTATTAACTAACAGACACATTGTGTCTTCCACCGTTTTCTATTAGAACACTAAAATATTCACACTTATAAAATCTATTTCATTATACTATCTGCTCTCTAACATTTCATCCCTTTTTCTTTTGCTAATATTTGTGCTTCAACATTCATTGACCATATAATATCTCACAAAGTATCAAGGTCCCTTATACCTGTAGACAGCTGCAGAGTGCTATATTAATAGCAAAAGGGAATCCACATGCATCAATTTGTTTCCTATTTTCTTTTGGGTAATAATAAGAGGTGGATCTAGATCATCTTTTCATAAACTGCAATTATTATAAAATGGGGAAAATCGACGCTTAATTTATTTGCTATGTATGGATACTGCTATTATTTGCAATGTACAGATACTGTCGAATGCAATAAAATAATCTATAGGATTGGAAGGAAACCACGGTATGAACATGGATGAACAGTGCATGCGATCCCTTAAGCAGTTATAGAAAACATGCATGAACTGCACAGCTTTCAAAAGGAAAGAAAATTTTGCAGATGATCTAATTACTCTTGGCATATTTGTCATGCACACACAATACCAGATATTGCTTGGATGATTAGGTGGTTTGGAAAGCTCTTTTTTACTTTGATAACTGGAAAATCCCCGAGAGCCAGCTAGTGCACAGTCCGAAACTCGGTGGATTAATGGCCCGCTCATCTACCCTTCCCCACCTAAATACCATGTTTCTACTTGCAGCAGGGTTCGAACTCATGACGTGCGTCTAACTCACATTTCACGTGCTGCTCTCTCACCACTGAACCAAAGGCTCCACGCCTAGAGACACTCTTTTATGTAGGTATCCGTAGTTATAAAAACTACTTAGAGAATCTTCCCATCAATTGTCAACTAAATTGACTCACCAAAAAAACGGAAGTCTCGCAAGTACCATAATTATAACAAACCCACTCTATCGTTTTCCCAAAGGTAAGACTTTCTAATACCAAACATTTTCCCTCTACAAAATGTTAAAAAGCGCTCGAATTTAAACCTGAACTCCCCTACACAGAATTGCTGGATGTTTCTCAAAATTGTTCTGTATCTTGCTATTTCTTCTGTGCTAAGGCCAAAACATAATTAAGATCACAATGTCTCAAAATTAACAAAAGTTAGAAGAACCAAAATCATCAATTTCCAAAACCCAAGACCTTTTTCAAGTTATGCCCCTATAACATCTTGTCTAGTTGCATCTCCACCAGCATAAACATGAAAAGTGATTAACATGCAGTAGTACCACTAATAATAGCAATTGATTATATTTAGTTTTCTGTATATTTGATCTTCAGATGATCAAGCTAGGAGACATGATCAATAATTGAAGATTGTCTTCAAAAAGAATCTCAAAGAAAGGCCTCTAATCAACTCATTTCTCCAGGATTAACTCAAATGAAAGACCCAAAACATGGAAAAGTTGGATAATGGAAGTGAAAAGCTGGAGGTTCACCAAAGTGAACCTTAACAAGGAGCTCATTACTGTAACTTCTTTTATATTCTGACATCTTACTGTAGGTATTATCATATCATTCAAAAAGGGAAAAGTTATTCTACCGAGGATCTTCTTGAAGCCGATCTGATGGAAGTAACAGCATAAAGTTCCGGAAATGTCCATAGGAAATAGATTCTTCTGCATCCGCACTTAGAAAGCGCATCATGGCAATAGCATTGTCTTCATTTGCTGGAAGTCCTGCATTGTTTAGCGATGCAAGTATCTCACTCTTCTGCAATGTGCCTGACTTGCTCAAAGCAAGACTAGTGTAAGCCCGCAGGATGGTGGGTTCCTTCTGTTCCATCAAGGACAGAAATTGTTTCCACCCAAAAGATTTTGAGAACAAGTGACTTCTAGCACGACGCATGAATTCATGGGCATATCTCTTTGGCAATTTTCTTTTTCTCATAGCAATTTCAAGATCTTCCAAGGTGACTTGACCATCACCATCTCTATCCAACTCCTCAAAGAATCTCTTACCTGCAACAGTACAACACAGGACTAAGGGCATGCTTGACAATATCGAAATTTCCTTATAATGGAGATCTTGTACGTCACAGGCAGCCCTTGGTTCAAATATTGAAATTTACTTATCCCAACCCAAAGAAGGAAAAAATGTTGTAATAATAATAATAACAACAACAACAACAACAACAACAATGATTATGATGACGACGATAATAATAATAACAGCAACAACTAACAACAGCAGCAATAATAACAATAATAATAGGTGCAAATGACAGAGGAATCGTTTACTTCAATCACGTTGAGAATTGTTCAGCTACTGGAACAATGCTCCAGCTACTCATTTGTTTCCTTGAACTTGCCATTTCATCCAACTCCATGTCAACAAAATTTCTTCCACTTATTATTACAAGTCAAAAGTTGATAAGAGATATTTTATGTGTTTACATTTTTGTTTATCTTGGTTGTGCAGTTTTGTTGTCCATGCACAAGCCACATATTCTGCACTAACTTTCTATCTCATCGCAAGAGACAGCCAGATAGACGATCATACATATTTTATGTGGTTATCTAGCACAGACATGTTCCACATCTCACATTTTTACTAAAATGTACTATCACCATGCCCCCATAGACAATAAGGTTTACGAACGATGTGCTAATTTTTATCAGGTTTCTATTTTAGCCACTCCGAGTATATGATTTGAAGCCCCAAGGACTTGGTGAAGTTGTTGCTTATAGCAGGTCAAGCATTACCAACTATATTTCCAAGGTGCTCGTTATGTAATATTAAGGCTTTAAGTAAACAAGTGGCAACAAGTTTAAGCAGAGCTTCATGGAACAACATAGTATGTGCATAAATTAATATACGTCCAATCTCATGTTACAAGAGAACAGTTCTCCTTTCCACCATTTAACTTGTCAATCTTATATGCTGGAAACTAATACAGCTGACAGGGTTACCATTTATTAAAGATATGCTTTTGCTTGATAAATAACACGAGGGAAAGAAATTGGGGGAAAAACACCTCAGAGGAGCCACATAAAGGTTTTGTTTGGAAGGGATCATTGAAGCAAGAAAGGTAAAGAAAATCCTATATCAATCAATCAACTTTGCGTCAATCCTAAACTAGTTGTGCTCAGCTATATGAATCCTCTGAATCCATTATAGCTCTACTTTTCTGCTGGCCGACAATCTATACAACCCCCCCCCCCCCTTATCTGGCTTTAGGATCGGCTTTGCCTTGCGGATCACACACAGAAGAGCAAGGAAATTCTATGCTCAAGGAAATCGAGATAAGTTGTTAAGGAGTATAGATTGCTAAAATATTCATCATTTTCAATCACAACAAATTAGAAACTTTTTGTGGGTTTGAGAAATGCGTGAAAGATGAGTGGACTAACTAGCCAAAACACAAGTCTCTTGTTGACACATACTTGACAATCTCAAAGTCTCAAACAAACTTGATTTAGGTTTGACATAATTACTAACTATTCGATGAAGGTCGAATTAAAAGATAACATAAATATAGATTTCTTATTGAAGTAGTGAAGAAAATGTACAAGAAACAGAGCTGCTGTAAAATAGAAAGCTGCAGGCAAAAGGAAACTAAAACAAAGACATCAACATCATTAGATCAACAAATGAGCACAAAGTTCTCAGAGTATGATGCTAATGCCATTAATTTCTGTCTTGGTCTTTCTTCTTTATACCTAAAGACCCAAGAAAACATGTACAGTAATATGAAAGAGAAGATCAGAAAACGTAATCAGTCTACTGTAAGGCACGCAGATATGACGAAATCTCAGTATTTGTTGATTTTTGACCAATAGAAACAATTCATGTAAAGATCAAAAGCCATGTTAACAGAGTCACTTGGAAAGGACAAACTTTAGATCAACTTTATAACTAGGATCAAGGCATACCTTCAGCCTCAGTGTATCTGAAGAAGTCCTGGACAGAGAACAGCTTTTTCTTGTCAGGATGATCTTTACTAGGTCGTCCTAACTGAGGCAAGAGCTCAATTAGTTCTGTTATTGAAACTGTGGACAATGTTGATCTCAAACGCTCGACATTGGATAATGGAATACTGAGCAAACCATTTGCTAAACTTCTTGCGGAATTTCCAGTGCTCTCTTCTTGACCACCAATATCGTTAACACCACCTTCTCTCTCTTCTCCCACGGAAGAATCTACATCAACAATACTTGAAGGAACACCTCCTACTCTAGCAAAATTCAGATTCCCAAGAAATCCATTGACATCAGCTCTTTTCCCCTCTAAAATACTGACAAAAATCTTGAAATGATGAAATTTATTGGCAGGCGGAGGAATTTGATTAGACTCGGCAATCTGACATTCCTTCTGTTGGACTCCTATGTCAAATTTTTGAAGATTCAAAGCTACTTGATCAAAAAGAAAACCAAGAAAGCACTCAACTGATAAATTCTTTCCCTCTTTGTGCTTCTTTTCCTTCACATAATTTACCCTCAGATTATCTTTAACATCATCACGAGCACTATCCTCATTGCTCGCCTTCTGAACACGCTTTTTCACAGTCTTAAAGGGGCTCGGAACAGCCTGAACAAAACCATTCATCAACAATGACCAAGCCACAGCAAATTGCAGACAGTTCGCACAACTCCCATCCCCTTTGCTGCCACCATACTTCTCCTTCAACCCTTTCCTAGCCACATTATTGCCCCCTTTATTGGTCTGCCCATTATTCCCAAATATTCCAACGAACATCTTAATCGGTAACTTTATCAACAAGCCCTTCTTTTTCTCATCACCTTGCTTAACTACACTCATTTTCTTGACATCTAATCCAGAACCACAACTACTAGTACAACTCTCAACTTTCCCAGTCTTTGGACCAGGCCAACAATGCTCAAAATCCTTTGCCACTTTCTTAATACCTAACTCTATCGGCGAAAACGCATTCTTAACAAATTGTACTGAATTCAGAAATGACTCAACAGGGTCTCCAGTCCCAGATACCACCACCATCACTTAAACACTACACCTTCTTACTCTACCACAAATATCAATCCAACCCAATAAAGAACAAGCCCTAATATTCACAAAACCACAATATTGAACAAGAAACAGATTCACATAAACCCTAAACTGTACAAGAACATAGCAAAACAATTACGAAAGTACAATTCAATAGGAAAAGAAGGCACAAAAATTAATTCATACCCAATGGCGGATAAGGGAATGGGGTCAAAATGAGAACTTTACAGTGTGGTCAACTGTAATATACACAAATTGTAGGATAAAGGATGAATCTTGAAAATGGAAGATAAATGATTTGTGTATTATGAGAATTGGGTTTTGTTTAATTTCTTGTTATTGATTTACCGGAAACTGAAAAATTTATCCAGCAAAATTTTAGAAGCCACTAATATTCTTCAGATCAAATCCCAAAGATATGATGACTGTGAAGTGTAAGAGAATAACCAGAAAAACAAAAAAGTATAACAAGAAAAAGAGCTCATCTACCCTTTTTTCTTTTTTAAATACATAAATTATTGGTAATAAAATAATCTTGGGAATCAAAAAAACTAAAAAAAGACTTCCACTTATCATTTCTCATAATATGATTAGAATGACATAAATACCCCTAAATAAGGAAGTTTTTAGCTCATAAAAACAACAGGCGAGGGTAAAATTGAGTTTTGCTATAGGAGTAATGGAGTGGCTGGAGTTTATTGGATTAATTGCATTATATATTGGAAAAAATGTTACACCATTATTTTCCTCTTATATATTGACTTTTTTTTTTTTTTTTTGAAGATGGGATTTTGGATAATGACTGCTGAGTGTGGATAATATTGGTTGACGTAGCGTCTAATTGGAAATCGGCAAATTTTTGGCAGTTTGCATCTGGTTGTTTACTTGCTCTCAAGATGGTTCATAGACTTAAATCTCATTTAATTCCCATGCAATCCTTTTATCCACATTAGTTCAACTGTCTTAACTTAGTGATAATTTTTATTGAGAAGTATATACTTTTACCTGCTTTTAAAAATAATATTAATAATATATATTTTATATATGTGTATTATATAAAAAGATATAATTTTTTGCCAAGTATTATATTTAGTGTCGGTCTACCGGCTAATGTTTTATTTCCCCATATTTGGCCCTTTACATTACTGTAGCAAGATTTTGTCAGTTTACCCGATTAAACAAACTTCGTAGCTTATCATAAAGGCAGAATGGCTTCCTGGCCACTTAACTTGTCGGGTTTTTAAAAGCCGATACATAAACTTTCTATTTTTTCATTTGAACACTCGAACTCATTTTTTCCGTAACTAATATACACATCTGACAAGAGACCATGCGCGCGTGTATTACACATACACATACGTGTCCATCCAGTCAGCAAATGACCAATGGATGTCTTACACATCAAGGGCGCGAAAACCCTAATCCAACAGATCGGGGTCCCCTAATTTATTCCATAGACCGACCCCCTTCCCCTCATTTTAACCTCTCTCTTTGACAAAACTCTCCTCTGTTCATTCCCGGTTCTTCATGTTCCTCTGTTCACGCAAACTCTGCAAAATTATCCGACCTAAACTATAGCTCCAAATGCCATAGCCTAGTGCAATCCACACAAAAAAGAAAAAGAAAAAAAAAAGATCCTATAAATCTGTTCAAATTATAGCTTTTGTTAACATTTTTGATGACATTTTCAATCAATTGGCTTCGAAGTATCCGTTTCAGAATCAATTTCTAGGGTTTTGAAATTGTTCATTTCATATTACGAGAAGTATCAAATTAAAAATATGATATTTTCACTTTTAATTATCAACTTATGGCTTTTGACTTTTAACTTATAAGCTACTTTTTAAAAGCCAATCTAAACATTCACTAAAGTATATGATGTGACTTATTACGTAGTAATACTAAGAATAATGACTTTTGAAGCATTGAAGCCTAGTCTAAAATCATCTTGAAGTTTAGAGTAGTACTCAAAATTGTAACATAGGAGCATATCTAAATCAGTCTAATGAAACAAATCACGTACAAATAGACATTCTTTTTGTTTTTTGGTTAATTAGATACTTCTATATATATATATATATATATATACTATATTAAAAGCACGAAGGGCCTTAGTGAAATATCGTTTGCCTTTCTTACCCTTTAAAAATAGGTTTTATAGTAGACAAAATAGTCATTTTAATTATTTCCCTCGTAGTTAGGAATAAGCATATTTAATTATTTTCCTAATATTTAGGCCGCATCTTCCCCTGGAGGAGTAGTAGCATTGTTTTCTCTATGGGCAGATGACATAGGGATTATAAAAGACGGCTGATCACTTGACTCAGGTTCTTCTTGTTGATGACTCAAGGCTTTCTTGGTTGGGTCATGAAAATCGGGTTGATTTGAAAATCAAGTAACATCAGGACACTTAAATCAACTAAATTATGTGTATTAAGAAATGTCGTTCGCCTTTTTTTACCCTTTAAAAATAGATTTCATAGTAGATAAAATAATTATTTTAATTATTTCCCTCGTAGTTAGAAATAAGCATATTTAATTATTTTCCTAATATTTAGGACACTTAATTCAACTAAATTATGTGTATTACTGTTTCCGTATTTAAATTGTAGAAAGTATTTATAATTCAATCAATCCTTATTATCTTGGATTACCTTTTAACAATAACGTGCATACAACTAGAACAGATACTATTATAAGGCTTAATCTAAACAAACATAGGAAATCTATTAAAAATACTTTATCTTTTCCATCACAAAAATTAAAGGAACAATCTTTAACTTCTACCTCACGAAGAATTAGATTGCGTGGGTAATCTTTAACTCCAAGTGATTTCTTTTTTTGAAAACAATATAGAGTTCTTGTACTTTATTGATAAGGTAAAAAACTTCTACGAAAATCAAAGTGAAAAATATATATACCATGGTATAATTTAAAGTCTTAAATAATTTTTTCATCTAGGGTTTAAAATATATACTTATATCATTATGTATATTGAACTATAATTAAGTTTCATATTAACTTAACCTCCTTTCCTCCATCAATATTTTTTTCCTTATCGATTTTTGAATAATATATAAAAGCTACGCTCAACCAAAAAAAAATAACTAAGAAAATAGCTAAGAATACAAGAGAGAGAGAGTGGTTGATAAAATTCAAGAACGCTAATGGTTTTTCAAACATAAACATCCAAAAATAAAATGTTGATCAGGTATATATCGAGTTAAGAATAGAAAGTGCAAGTGACTATACAACATCCTTATCACAAAACATTTAAAAGTTAGAATGTGCTAACATTAAGAATTCGAAGTGTTTCAATTAATTGATTAGCAAAAGAATTCAATCCAGTTCCGTTACAAATTCATCTACAATTAAATCGTCTTTCAAATTGACACAATAGTTTACATAAATTTGCACCTTTAAGAAGGAATCAGCGTTGAAAGAAAAAAAATAAAGGAAAATCGATTATGATATAAGTAGTATTAAGAGTTAAATCGCTATTCGTTTGACTAAATAGGATCAATATTCGTCATTTAACTTACATTTTTTTTCTTAATTTTTTATTTTATAACTCAAACACCACTATCAATACAATATTTATATAATATTAAAAAAAATTATATTCATTGAGATGAGGTACACGCGCAACGTGCGTATATATATATTTTCAGCACCACCTCAGAGTTAGTCTCAATTATAATGGGCGACAAGCCTTGATCTAGAGCTATTTTTAGCCCTAACCATAAGGCTTGGAGCTCTACCCTAAGACTATCAGTGTTTGGGAGCCCCCTCATGAAGCCTAGAACCCAGTCACCCCTCATGTTTCTGAATACCTCCACAATACCCTCTTTCCCTGTGTTAAGGCATGAAGCCCCAATCAGTGTTCAATTTATAAAAGTCGTTATCTGGTGGTTGCCACTTTAGGTATAAGGTGGTTGTTGTCATAACTGGCCTGGATGTGGCTGCCACATGGTGGTATTCTACAGCTTTTGCAATTGTTTGGTGTACATTAATGTGATTTCTTTTCTTAATAAAGACACTAGAGTTCCTAGTGAGCCAAATGGCCCAGAGGTAGAAGGGCAATAGCTGTTTCCATTTGATGCAAGCATTGTATTCCACATTTTGAAGCATATGCCATGCGTCTTCCCAGTTTGGCATAGAAATGGGATTGACACTAAGGTTAGGCTTATGGTTGCACGGGTATAGCAATTGCCCAGAACCCTTTGACATTAGCACATTCAAAGAAGATGTGATTTATGTCTTCTATGGCATGATCACAGAAATAGCAGTTAGGATTAATTCTCAAACCAATGTGGTACAGGTAATTCCCTGTAGGCAGCCTATTTTGCTGCATGAGCCATATGAAGAACTTAATCTTATTGGGGGATTTTTAGCTTCCAAATCCAGCTAAAGTGGTCTTCATTAGAAGTGTCATTGTGTATTAGTGCATCAAGGTAGTAGTATAGTGATTTGGTACTAAACAGGCCAGTGGGGTTGAGGTTCCAGATTAGCTTATCCTCACCAGAGGTGGATGTGGGAATGAAAGTATTTTGGATTATCATGTTGATGTCATGGGTGATTGGATAGGGAATGTAGTTGAAATCCCAAACCCCATTGGAGTACACTTCATTTATCCTGGTGTTCATGTCACTGTGGTGCCATGGACCATTAAGGATTTTATCCATTGGCTGCATCGTGGGAAATCATGTGTCAGTGAGGAATCTAACCCTATCCCCTTTGTGAATCACCCATCTAGTACAATTGGTGTATATCTTCCAGCCCTCTTGAACATTTTTCAGGTCCTAGTCTTAGCTTTAACACTATTCCCTCCTCCTTGTAGTGCTTTCCCATGAGCACCCTAGCCCAGATGGAGGTAGTATTATTGTAGAGTCTCTAAGCAAGAATTGTGTGGCATGTTTTGTTGTTTAGACGGGCCTGCTGTAGGCCCAACCCTCCCCTATTTTTTGGTTTGGTGACAGTGGTCCACTTGACCATGTGAAGCTTCCTTTTTGTAGGAGTTGTACCCCAAATAAAATTCTTTTGAATTTTTTCAATTTGGTTGGTAATTTGGGAGGATAACAGGATGTACTGCATTACATGGTTTGGAATGCTACTAAGGTAAGATTTTGCCAGGATGGTTCGACCAATCATATTCAGGAACTTGGTTTTCCACCCTGCCATTCTACTGTTGAGGTTATCTACGATGAATTGAAAGTCACTATTCCTAGGCCTTTTGTTGAAGATGGGGAAACCAAGGTATTTCCCAATGTCTCTAGCACCTTTGATACCTAAAATGGCACTGCATGTTGTGGCACTCTCTTCTTGGCAATTTGAAGAAAACCCCACTTTAGATTTTTGGAAGTTGACTTTCTGCCCAGATGTGGTATTGAAATTACCCAAGATGGATAAGATTGTCTTACAATTTCTTCTATTGGCTTTGGCAAACATACTGAGGTCAATAACAAAGAACAGGTGGGAGATTCTAGGCCCTCCCCTGCTGATGCGTA